TAAACAGCTTTAGGTGACAGGGCGTTTGGTTGTCCCTATTCCTAAGTCAGCAGAAATGAAGGCCCAGGCCCACGAGTGCGCTCACACCGTGCACCCAGCACGGGCAATAATTTACCACCATCACAGGACTGACCAAGGGTTAGTACTTCCTATCATCCTGCCGAGATCTCTGTCTGCTGTACACCCCAAGGAAAGCACAGGGTACAGTCACCTTTGCCTGTCTGTATAAGAGCTACGTGGAAACAATGGAGAACCATAGCTCCAAGTACAGAAGATACACTCACTGTAGCGGCTATGACATCTATCTGGAATGTTCTCTTCTTCGCCTGCTCTCTTGGTGACCTCCTACACATCATTTAGGCATTGACCTCAAAGATCCTGCTTCACGAAGCATTTCCTGCCCCCTCCCCAAGGTGGGCATTCTCCCCCTATGTGTCCCCTGGGCCTGGACGTGCCTCGTATGTGGTAATGCAATTGCATATTATATATCTGTCTACTACAAGTAAATTTCTGGAGCAGCTTTGTAACTTGAGCTTTTCTTAGGGCCTTGCACATAATAAGTGCTTGCTCAGCCAATATTTCAAGAATTATTTATTATTGGTAATGATGTTACTTTAGACAGACTAAAAAGATCTGTCACTCTTTTCTATGATTTTCATAGTCGTTACAACTTGATTTCCTGATGGACACTAAGTCCACAACGGCCTGTCCACATTTTCTCTTTGCTGTGGGAAATCATTGTGTCTCCACAGGGTTCCACACAACCCCTGTGGGTGGAAAGCAAAGGAAATCGATGGCCTTTCCTAAGACCACCATCATGGCTCTGTCTCCAAATAAAACCAGTAGAGTGGAGGGGCTCAGGGTCCTTCTATGAGAAAAGAAGATCACGAACAAAGGCTCAGAGTGTGGAGTGCTCTCACCTCATTAGAATACTCTTAAAAATGTCTCCTATACAAGCAAAGTTTTCACTCACAAACATCTTTGACTTCAAGGCATCCTCCAGACAAGCACAGAAGATGCTCTGGTGATAGAAAACTGCCAGATTCTGGGCTAAAGGTGGGGACTAGCCCAGGCCCCAGGGTCAGCAAGAACACTACTATATGTGGATGATGACCAGGCAGCGTGGACACCAAGGGCACTACTAAAGGGAGAGGAACACTCTGCGGGTCCCCTGGGGTGTGGGGAAGGATGAGAGACATCTGCTTCTAGGTTTCAGCAGGCTTAACACATCCAGCTGGTGCCTGGTGCTCAGTAACCTGACAAAGGCTGGGAATGACAGTTGCTAGGAGTGAGGGTGGGAGGGAATGTCACCAGGCCTCAGGGGCCACATGGAGAAGGAGCCCTGGTTTCTCTAAGAGGAGCGAGTTTGACTAGCACTAAACCAGCCAAATCTACAGATTGAATGCCCCGCTCCATTTAAAGTCCCAAGACGCCAAAGTGGGGGACATCATGAGCTCTGTAAGTAGCTCTGGACCCAGTGAGCATTCTCAGGCTCCGCTGAGCAAGGGTGGCAGCAGGACTGGGGACTTGGCTGAGCTTCAGGATGCCCTTGCTCTTAGAAACTGAAGGCGAAGGGTAAGCCAGCTTTCAGTCTATCAAACAAGCATCCGGGACTCTTGTCCCTCTCACTGCAGCATGTCACCCCATCATGTTTGTGTTTTTGTTTCTGTTCTCATCATTCTGGCCTCCAGTGGCAATTGTTAATAAGGATGAGCCTCCCTACTTGCTCAGTGAGAGCTGTCAGTGGATTTGCTTTTCCATAACACACAAATGCCATGAGCTGCTCTGCTCTGCTCACCTGGTTTGGTGCCCTTGAGAATTCTATCACAGGCCTTATGTAGTTTTGAAAATCCAAATCTCTTTTGCAAACAGAGAGAGCAGATCATTGCCAGCTCATACCACATGGAGTCTGAGGGTCCACTCAGCTAGACTGACAGGCAGTGCTGCCAATCCTCAGGAAAACCACGTCTAAAACCTTCCATGAAAGCCAGCCCTTTAGAAATGTGCTCCAAAGTTCTTTCCAGTGACTCTTCCTTGGCTTGATGATTGGTAAGGAGGAAAAAGGGTGTGCTTGGTTCTCAGATACCTTCAGAATCCAAGTGACTGAAATTTCCTGTTTTGGTCCATGAATGTTTTTGGCCTTTGGAAACTCTGTCTCTCTACAACATTGTAGAAAGTTTATTGAAAACTCTTAGCATGCCTTATGAGAATATTCCTAGATGTTGGGGGTGGAGGCACAAGGTGGAATGGTTACGATGATTAATAACATTTAAGAAGAAGAGGGCTGGGGGCATAGCTCAGTGGTAGAACACTTACTTGCCTAGCATGTGTGAGGCCTGAGGTTCCCAGAACATTAAAAAAAAAAAAATTCAGAGGGTAGACAGGCATATGTGGTTTGCTTGAGGCTTATAACCAACTCAATAGACAACGCAGGCTGGCAGGGAACTTGTTCTACATTCAACATTCACATGGTTCTGGTTTCTGGCCCATGTGACCCAAGAGAGGAGCCATGCCAGAAACATGACAGTATCACACAATGCTCTCTGAGCCTCCACCCTGTGGGCAGGGTCTTCTTTGACTATGCTCTGATGTGTCACACGCTGTGAGTTTGCTGCCCCAATTTTCAAACACTCCAAGGAGAGACTGTCCCTCTCTCTGGATGTCCCTTCTGTGCTCATATGAAGAGCAATGCTGTCTTGAGTCTCTCAACAGGAGACACTGCAAGAGCTCCCCTCTTGGTGACTGTCCCCAGCTCTGTGGCCCATTCTTCCCGGGGGGGCTCAGAAGAAGGCACCACCTCATATTGAGTCACTCTGGAGACTGGAACCCAAGGGCTCCCAGAGCACTCTGATAAGAGAACTCGAATTGGACATGTTCAAGCATTTTCAGCAATCAAAACTCAAATTACTTAGCAAAGGAATTCATTCCTATTTGAGATTTTCATAGGGTTTGGGTCTGGACTGTCCCCCAAAAGCTCATATGTTAAAGACTTGGTCCCCCATTCAGCAATGTTCAGAAGTGGGGCTGTGGGGGAGTGGTTGGATCATGAAGACTCTGAATTCATCAATAATTTATCCTTCCATGAAGTCAAAGATGCACAATTTATTGGGAGGTTGTAGAAACTTTAAGAGGTGGACCTTGGGGTTGGGGCTCAGTGGAAGAGCACTCGCCTAGCACCTGTGAGGCACTGGGTTTGATCCTCAGCACCACATAAAAATAAATAAAATATTGTTTCCATCTACAAATAAAAAAAAAAAATTTAAGAGGTCAGTCTTAGTTGAAGGGAGTGACTCCTTGGGGTCGTGCCTGTAGGGACTACATCTTACTCCCAATCCCTTTTCTATTTCTTGGGCACACTATGTGAGCAGTTTTGCACTACCACATCTTTCTGCCAGATGAGGCCAGAGAGTGACTCTTGACGGGCCGTGGGGATAGTGGAGTTGCTAGAAGAATCTGGGGAGAATAAAAGTCACTGGAAGGTTTTGAGCAGAGCTGACTTATACTCTGGAAGGATCGCTCTGGGGCTGGGTCCAGGGCAGAGGCAGGTGCACTAGTAAGGAGTTATTGCTACTGCTAATAACCTGGGTGACAGATGCTGCTGCCTGGGACCAGGGTGCTGGAAGTAGAGATGTAAACAGTGGTAACCTTCTGGATTTGTTGTGAAGGTAGAGACGTTCGGCCTGCTGATGGATAGGATGTGAAGAACAGGAAAAAAAAAAAAGAGGCTTTAAGGATGACCCAGGCTTTTTGATCTAAGCAACTGAGAATGGAGTAGCTATGTGCTGAGCTAGGGAAGTTGTGGGAGGGCAGGTTTGGAGGGGCTGTAGTTTGGATATAGCTTGTCCCTTGAGAAACTCTCCTTAGGGTTTAATTTCCACTGTAAGGCATCCAGAGGGTGGAAACTTAATGTGACTATGGTGTTTCGAGGTAGCGAAGAGATTAGGGTTAGATATGGTCATCAAGGGTGATTACTCCCATGACTGAATGCTGGTGGCTTTATAATAAGAGGAAGAGAGAAGGGAGGCAGTGGGGACAGACAGACACGTGCATGCTGTTTCTCACCATGTAATGATCTGTATCACCTTAGGACTCTCCTAGCAAGAAGGCCATTGCCAGATGAGGCCACTCAACTTTGAACTTCCAGAACTTTCTTTTATAGCCCACCCAGTGTGTGTGGTATTATGGTATCAGCAACAATTTTTTAAAAAAGCACAATGACAGAAGAGTACTATGGGAGCTCACTTTTGAATAAAGCTGAGATACCTGTCAGGCATCCAGGTAGAAATGGGCTGAAGGTAGTTGGCTGTTCATATCTGGAGATCATGGGAGGGGTCTGGGCTAGAAACAAGTGGTATTGTCAGCACAGACTGGATTTAAAGCCATGAGTCTGGGTGAGATCTCAGAGACAGGGTGTAGAATAAAGGAGGCCCCAGGCCCCTAGAAGGTGGGGAGATGAGGACAAAGGCCAGAGAGAAAGGGGAAACTGGGAGAAAGTGATGTCCTAGAAGGAGAAAGGTAGCAATGACCATGTTCCCATTATCAAACCCTTGAGACCAAGTCATCTACAGTGGACTCAGGATCAGACAGAGGGGCATACTCCACACGTAAACTTGAGTTGCAACCTACACTTACATCTGAGGGATTAACCTTTATCCTTGGGTGTCAGTAGCCCTTTGAGAATCTTTATGGACACTGTGGATCTTCTCCTCAGAGAAATGCAGACACATGCAAGACAGTGGACCGTCTCTGAGGTTCCCAGAGCCAGTGAAGCCCATGCCAGGAGGCGGCTCCACAACCAGCCATTCCCCACCCTACGGCATTAACCAAACTGCCTCACTGAAGAAATTCAGGCATCCCAGGTCCTCCAGCTTCCTCAGATAGGTTTCCAGGGGGTAGAATGAGTAAGGTTCTCTGGGTTGATATTGGGTTGGGTGGGGCACGAAATTTGAAGAGACTGATATAAGGCTCAAAGCAACTGAGAAAATAAATAGAGGACTCACCATCATCTCCTGCACCAGAAACATCTCTGCACCACCGGATGACAGTCGGTTGGGGAAGGAGATGCTGACAGATGACCCCGGAAGGGTGCTGGGGCCAGTGTTATAGACCTGTGGGTGTGGAACACACAGAGCACATTTCAGTGGAAATAAGAGAGCTTCATTTCATGTCCTGAAATATGTACTCCACATACAGATGTTCCAGGGGTGGGAGCTAAGTCATAACTCTAGGAGAAATAAGATGCTGAATGGTGGGGAATTTTAACAAAATTCTTAATGAAAATCCTTCAAATAGGCACCTAAAAACCTCAGACTTCCAAAGTACCATTCCCTTTTAACATTTTCTTATCCTCTTCTTCTTACTAAAAATTATATTTATTTTGACATACCAATAAATTAGACTATTACATTGGATGGGAAAGCAGACATAATAATTTAGTTCAGTGGTTCTCAAATTTCAGCATAACATCAGAATCACCTAGGGGCTTTTTAAAACACAGACTTGGTAGTGAGGGGTGAAAGGGGGGTCATGCCAAGAGCTCCTGAGGCAGTAAGCGGGGTGAAGCACCAGCATTTCTAGTAAGTTTCCAGGAAGCTGAAAGCATGGTACACACTCATAATTCCAGCTACTTAGGAGGCTGAGGCAGGAGGATCATGAGTTCAAGGTCAGCCTCAGCAACTCAAGGAGGCCTGTTTCAAAATGTAAATAAAAAGGGCTGGGGTGTAGCTCAGTGGAAGAGTGCCCCTGACTGCAGTCCATAGTACAAAAAAAAAAAAAAAAAAAAATTTCCAGGAAATGCTGCTGCTGACCCAGAAGCCACCCCTGAGAACCACTAATGTCTACTTCCTTTCTTTTACAGTCTGAGGTAACAGACCTTCAAAGACCAAATGGGTTGTCCTAAAACCAAGTGATCTAATAGTATAGAAAGGGCTATTTTTACTACACTATCCAGCTCATTTAGTTTCTGTGCAATTTATAGATAGTCATGTGTTAACACTGTTTGATGGCCTCTGTGCCTCTTTTCTATCCTAGCATTTGGTCCTATAAAACTTTCCCCTTCTCCTCTTCTCTATCATCCTTTTTATTTTCTGTCTCTAGAAGCCAGTCATCTCCCAAGAAATGAGGGAAAAGAGGAAAGAAACCAAAAAGGGTGAAGACAGAGCAAAGGCTGATCATAAGTAGAATCTGGAGGAAAAAAGAAAGAAACAAAAGGTGAGTTGATCTTTGGGGACAGAAAGAAGCTCAGGATTGAGGACAGGGAGAGTAGGGAGGGTTATAGACAAGCAGGTGAACAGGACCTCAAAGATGTCCATGTCCTAATCTGTGGAACCTGTGAACATTATGCTACATGAAAAGATGGAATCATGGTTGCCAATCACATGACCTCAAATAGATTATTTAGGATTATCCCAGTGGGCACATTTAATCACGAAGGCCCTTATAGAGAGAAGAGGGAGGCAGAGAAGTCAGTATCAGAGAGAGACCCCAATGAAAGTTTTGACTGGTCATTGCTCACTTTGAAAATGGAAGGGGCCATCGGCCAACTAACTCCCACAACCTCCAGAAACTGTAAAAGGCAAGAAATGAATCCTCCCCAGACCCTCCAGTGAGGAACACAGTCCTCTAAGGCTTTGATTTTAGCTCTGTGAGACCCATTTTGGACTTGTGGATCTCAGAGTCGTATGATAATAAATGTGTGCTGTTTAAAGCCATTAATTATGTGGTATTTGGTTACAGCAGAAATAGCAAATTAATCCAGACTTACCTCACTTTATGATACTTCATTTTACCGTGCTTTGACGACACTGCATTTTCTTATAAATAAGAAGTTTGGGACAACCCTGCATCAGGAGAGTCTATTGGTACCAATATGCCCATATGTTGTTAGTGTGTCATATTTTGTTAATTATCACCATATAGTAAGTTGTTTCATGATTATTACATCTCTTGTGGTAATGGTGATCTGTGGTCAGAGATTGTTTTTTCCTTTTGCAATGTTGGAGACCTGCCCAGGGCCTTGCACGTCCTGACAAGTGGTCTCTCCCTGAGCTACATGCCCAGCCATGTGGTCAGTGATCTTTGATGTCACTCTCCTAACTGGGGCTGCCATGAAGGGCGCCCACATAGGAAAGAAAACTCTTTTGATAAATGTGTGTGTTCTGATGGCTCCACCAACACCTGTCCCATCTCCCTTCCTCTCCACAGTCCTTCCTATTCCCTGAGATTTCCTTCCTTTTACAGCCTGAGGTAACTGAGACCTTCAAAGACCAAGTGGGTTGTCCTAAAACCAAATGATCTAATATATAGAAAGGGCTGAAATTAGGCCTGAACAATTCTCTAGTGGCCTCTAAATGCTCAAGTGAAAGGAAGAGTCGCACATCACCTAAATCAAAGTTAAACGTGGTTAAGTATGAGGGGGAAGGCATGTCAAAGCCAAGACAGGCCAAAAGCTGGGCCTCTTGACCAGTTGGCCAAGTTATAAATTCAAAGGAAATGTTCCTGAAGGAAATGCAAAGTGCTCTTCCAGCAAACACGTGCATGATTCCTGATAGAAAGAAAATTTCAGTGGTCTAGAGAGATCAACCACCCACGGAATTCCCTTAGGCCAAAGCCTAATCCAGATCAAGGCCATCACTTCCTTCAATTCTTAGGAAGGCTGAGAGAGAGGAGGATGCTACAGGAGAAGCAGTCTGAAGCTAGCAGAGATTGGTTTGTGAGGTTTAAGAAAAGATGCCATCTCCTTAACATGAAAGATCAAGTGCGGATGGAGAATCTGCTGCAAGTTATTCAGTTCTATCCATGGTAACCGAAGCAGGTGCTACATCAACAGCACATTTTAATGTAGACAGCTGAGTCTTACATGGGGCCATCTAGGACTTTCATAGCTAGAGAAGCAAGGCCAATGCCTGGCTTCAAAACTTTGAAGGCCAGCTGACTCTTATCAGGCACCCATGCATCTAGAAACTGGTGACTTAAGTTGAAGCTAAGACTCATTTGCCATTCTGGAAATCCCAGGACCTTTAAGAATTACACTAGATCTGCCAGTCATGTGGTACACATGCTTGCAATCCCAGTGACTTGGGAGGCCGAGGCAGGAGGACTACAAGTCTGAGGCCAATCTCAGTAACTTAGCAAGACCATATCTCAAAATAAAAAATAAAAATGGCTAGGGAATGTGGCTCAGTGGTTAAGTACACCTGGGTTCAATCTCTTGTACGAAAAAAAAGAAAGGAAGGAAGAAAGAAAAATTACCATGCGATTTAAGTAAACCAAAAAGCCTGTGTGAAAGCACATCTGTTCCCAACATGGTTAACAGAATATATTAAGCCCATTGTCGAGATCTACTGCTCAAAAAAAGAGTTCCCTCAAAATCTCAAAATATTACTGCAAACTGATGATGTATCTGGTCACTGGAGAGCGCTGATGGAGAAGTTCTACAAGATCAATGTTGCTTCCATGACTGGCAACACAGCACCCATCTGCGGCCCAGGGATCAAGGAGTGATTTCAACTTTCAATCCCTATTAGTTAAGAAATACATTTAATCAGCCTGTAAGTTGTCATGGATTGTGATTCCTCTGACCAATCGGGGAAAAGCAAATTGAAAAGCAGGAAAAAGCTTTAAAAAGCAGGATTAACCATTAAGAACATTCATGATTCATGGCAGAAGGTCAAAATACCAATGTAGCAGGAGTCCGGAAGAAGGTGATGCTGACTCCCATGGATGTCTTTGAGGGGTTCCAGACTGCGTCGGGGAAGTATTTGCAGACATGGTGGAAATAACAAGAGAACTCTCATTTAGAAATTGAGCCTAAAAAGGTGACTGAACTGCTGCAAACTCACAAGATGACTTTAATGGATGAGGGACCACTTCTTATGCATGAGCAAAGAAAGTGGTTTCCTGAGACAGAATTCACCCCTGGTGAAGATGCTGTGAAGATCATTGAGATGACAACCAAAGATTTAGAATGTTAGATTTAGTTGATAAAGCAGTGGCAGGTTAAAGGGGACTGACCCCAATTTTGAAGGAAGTTCCACTGTGAGTAAAATACTACAAATGGCATCGCTCACTATAGAAAAATCTTCCATGAACAAGAGTTAATCGACATGCAAACTTCATTGTTGCCTCATTTTAAGAAACTGCCTCAGCCATGTCCCCCTTTAGCAGAGAACACCCTAATGATCAGTTTAGCAGCCATCAACATGGAGGCAAGTCTCTTTACCAGCAAAAAGATTACAGCCCACTGAAAGCTCAAAAGACCTTTACCAATTTTTAGCATTCAAGTATTTTTGGGTGGGAGTTACTAGGGATTGAGCTCAGGGGTGCTCAAACTCTGAGCCACATCCCCAACCCAGCTTTGCGTTTTATTTAGAGACAGGGTCTCACTGAGTTGCTTAGCACCTTGCCGTTGCTGAGGCTGGCTTGGAACTCATGATCCTCCTGCCTCAGCCTCCTGAACTGCTGGATTACAGGTGAGTGCCACTGTACCCGGGACATTCAAGTATGTTTAAGTTAAGGTATGCATGTTATTTTTTAGATATAATGCTATTGCACACTTAATGGAGTATAGTATAGTATACACATAATTTTTATGTGAACTGGGAAGCCAAAAAAATTCCTGTGACTCACTTTATTGTGATGTTTGCTTCATTGCAGAGGTCTGGGAGAAAACCTTCAATGTTTCCAAGGTACATCTGTATGTCACTAATGGGAATAGGGTTTCTTTGGGGGGTGACGAAAATGTTCTAATATTCAATCATGAGGATGGAAACATCATTCTGTAAAAGTACTAAAAATCATTGAATTGTGTACTTGAAATAGATAAACTTTAAGGTGTGTAATAATAGCTCAATAAAGATGTTCTTTTAAAAGATGAGTAAAAATTATACGAATTTTTTGGGGGAGTGGGGGGGGGGTCCCAGATTGAACTCAGGAGCACTCGACCACTGGGCCACATCCCCAGCCCTATTTTGTACAATTTTAATGTGTGGGAGATGGAGATGAGTGGGAGAGAAGAGGAAAGGAACTGATGCCTGGCATTTTGGGACTAGATAGATTCAGGGTTCAAGGTGACTGTGAAGCTGAAGTCAGAAGGGCAGAGCCAGAGAAGGGTGGACATCTAACCAGGTCTTCCCCATATGACTGGAATGAAGAGCAGCTAGCTCCAGCCAGCCTTTCCCCCAGAACAGTAGCTGGTTTTGTTTCAAAGAATAGATAAACATTGATAGAGCAGATGAACGGTCGTGGCCAACTCTTGATTCAAAAAGAACAAGATTCACCAAAAACAACAGCCCTGAGACACAAGACAGGGCAGGAGTCTCCAACCACAAGTCAAATAACTAATTTGAAGTGAAACATGAGAACACAGAACTGAAAAGAACCCTCTTGACATGTCTGGGAAATCCCAATTAGAGCATGAATGGGGGTAAAGTTTGAGAAAAAGATTCACTTGAGCCATGTTGCTTATCAGAGCCAGGCCTGAGGGGAGAGTTTGAATTATCATATTTATTTAACAATATCTTAACATTTGATTTTCTGGAAATGTTCATGTGTAACGTCTGTATTACTTCCCCCCATTTCCAGGTGGGGAAATGCTTTGACTTCTAATGCAAAAACAAAACCCCAAAGTCTACCAATGGTCAACTAATTACTGTGTCTCTGTTTTTTTTTAAAAAAAACAACAAAGCTGATAAAATGTAGAAAGCAAACCCAAGACTAGTATCTCTTTCTCTCATCTGCATTTAAGGTGGAGTCCTTAAAGAATTACGTTGTTTATTGAAGGATGGATTTTAAAAGACACTGGAAAATCTGTACTAAGTCTTATGTTTCTTCAGGAATGAGGTTTCTAGAAAGTAGAAAAAAGAGAAATTTCTCCCTATTCCTGACCCCTTTCTCCCCTAGTATCTCCATCTCTTGGTTGTTACCACCACCAACACTAGTCAGTGACCTACCTGCGGGACATTGTAACAACAGCAATTCTACCAAAAAAAAAAAAAAAATGAGTCATCAGAGACCTCTCAAGGAAATGGTGGACTTTGCTAATGCAGAGGCATCACCCTCTGATCAATGGCACCTCTATCAATCTCTCAGACCAGCCGCCTGGCTCAAACTTGGACTGAATGCTATGCACCTCCTCGGGCATAAACTCCTGGAGCAGTTTACCCAAGGGGCAGGCCAATCACTCATTACTGGGGACAGGACTCAGCAGCCTGGGTCCTGTTTTAGGTCAGATGTGAAGAAAAGCTATGGGCTTAAACACCAAACTTAAAACTCCCTGTAAAAATACCTTTAGAGAAATGACTGCAAGATTTCCTTCTTCCAACTCCCATCCCTTCTTCATTACATGGTCTGCCTCATTTAAACCATTCTAAACCATTTTCTGGACTCTCATCTTTTATTGCAAAACATCTCAAAAATTACAAGAAGAGAATATAAACAATTAAAGTGAAGTAAATCCACTTGGTCTTTATCTGTTTTCTATCCAATTGCAAAAAAACAAAGGGAATGATACACCAACTCTGAGAAGCAATTCAGAGACACAGAGGTGTGATTCACAGCTCTCTGTCTCCAAAGAAAGCCCAAACCCCATCTTTTACTTTCTCCCTTGTAAATCAAGGACAGAGTGTGACAGCTGGAGCTTAGCTGGTCAGGAGGCTCATCCTCTCTGAGCCGGGGACATGTGTTATCCATCATGGTTTCGGAGGTCTCCTGCCTGCGAGAGCACTCTGGAGAGAGGGAGACTATTGTCTGCAAGAGCCCACAAATGTTTTATTGCCTCATTCTCTTGCACCCTCGCCCCACCATTATTTGTCAGCCCCTAAATCCACTTAGGAGAGGCCGCAGGAAAAGAAAAATAATCATTATTTGGCCACAATAGTGAATACCAGGGTGAGAAACCATCCTCTCCATGGGGGAAGGATGGAAGAGACAGTAAAGAACTCTGAGAGCAGGTACTGGGAGTTCTAAGAGGTGAACTTCAGGGTTCTATGGGTGAGACAAGCCATTTCTCCTTTATTTCATCCACAGCTCTGGGTCAAGTGGGGTCTGGTCAAAGCATGACCATTCCTGGCCCAGTCCTGCCTCACCCAGTTCTGGGACCTCGAGCACATCTTTCTTGCTTGGGCCTACATTTCCTTGTTTGTCCTTTAAGAAGAATGGACTAGATAATACTGATCTCCCTCAAACTTCATATTCACAGAGGCACATGTTGAACAGCTGGCCTGAGAGTTCATACTTTAAAAGCAGGGATCAGCAAACTGTGGCCTATAGGACAGATCTGGTCCCATGCCTGTTGCATAGCCTGTGCACTAAGAATTGTTTAAGTCATTAAATGGTTGGAAGGGGAAAAGAAATCAGAACAATGGCATTCATGACATGTAAAAATTATGTGAAGTTTGAATTTCAGTGTTCATAAACTAAGTTTTATTTATGTAATGTCCATAGCTGCTGTTATGGTTTGGGTATAAGCTGTCCCCCAAAAGCTCCTATGTTAATGCAAGAATATCTAGAGGTGAAATTATTAGATGATTAAATTATAACGTAATCAGTTCATCCTGGTTTGAATGGACTAACCAGGTGGTAACTATAGGCAGGTGGTAGGGCATAGCTGGAGGATGTGGGTCACTAGGGCTGTGTCCTGGAAGAGTGCATTGTCTCTGTGGCTCCTTTCTCTCTTTGCTTCCTGGTTGCAATGAATTGAGCAGGATTCCTCCACCACACTCTTCTGCCATGATATTCTGCCTCACCTCGGGCCCAGAGTAATGGACTCAGTTGACCATGGACTAAACCTCTGGAACCATGACCCCAAATAAACTTTTCCTCCTCTAAGTTGTTCTTGTCAGATATTTTGGCCCCAGTGAGGAAAAGATGACTGACACAGTGTCTTTTGAGCCTCAGTAGGTAGCATGGCTGAAAAGTTGCCACAGAAATTGTGCAGCCCGCAAAGTCTAAAACATTTCTTTCTGGCCTTTTTCAGAAAGTTCGCCAACCCCTAATTAAGTGAAGGGACAATGTGCTTCATAATGTCCACATTCCGTAGACCTGCTGGAGAAGACATGTGACTGGGATGACCCCACCCTGGCTCAATGAGGGAGCATGCGCTTCTTCCCGGATAGTGGTGGGTGGGAGGGTCACATGGGCTCACACTGCTTTGCCTCTATAAAACCACACTTCTGAAAGTCTGTTCCCCTAGGGGAGGATGAGCTTTTGGCTGAGTTTGCATGAAAATCCCAGGAAGAAGAGAAGGCAGCAAACCTTCTGGGGCTCCTCTGAGCCCAAGGTGAATGAATGACAGAGAAGAGACTATGGGACTCTTGGAGCTGGGATATGGGCCTAGGTCTCAGCCATCCAAGGCCTTCTTAGGGGAAGCTGCTTTGCCTGGTGGGGCTCTCCTTTCAAGTCTTGAAAAGTAGAGGGGACCGCCTGTGCGGGGTTACAGAGAACACGCACTCACACACATGCACACAGCAGCAAACCAGGCTGGGGTTTTCCCCTGAAAGCAGCCTGGCCCGTTAGCTGCCTTTCAGAAGGAGACACGTCCTGTGGCCTTCTGTTGGCTCCCAGTGACAGAGGGTTTCTAGGGGTGGGTACCTGAAGGGTGACGTTGAGGGGCTGGAAATGGCACTCCAGGTCGTCCAGCTGAATGAAGTTGGAGGCATCCACAGACTCGCCATACACAAAGGAGGTCGGAGATACGATTCTGAAAGAGGAAAGTAGGGAGGTCGGCATCCCCACCCATCGTCCACGTCCACGTCCACCTGGAACCCATCATCTGTTTGTTTCATCCCGTGTCTCCCACCAGATGCTTCCACCCCGACTGTGACTTTTTTCTCCTGTGAATGGACACAGCCAGTCTGTGCTAACCAGCTTGTTCTAGTATATCTTCTCACCTGAGGTCACATTGATAAGCTTCATCTACACTATACAATGGGATTACACTTCTAAAATAAAGAGGTTTTTTTTTTAAAAATTGAAGCCATGGCGACTTTTTACAAAACTGGACTCCAAATTTATGGATTTTCTGTTTTGTCACTTGAAAAACATTTTGTGGGTCAAATAGGCCTATAATAAGTTTTCAAGAAATAAATGCAAATCAATCGTATATTTGGCATCCTAAGCCCCACCCTGTGACAAATTCATTTTAAAAACTTAAATTTGTCAGACTACCACAATCACTAGAAATCAGACACTGGAGAGCTAAGGCAATGCAAAACGGCATTTCCCCTAAGGTTTCAGACCGTGGCTACCTGAGCAGTGATTGAGAATTCAAGCTCGGTCTGTAGCAATACTTTCACCATTGCTTATGTGAACAGACCCCTGAGGAAAAAAAAAAAAGAAGCTCAGACTTACACCCCCAAATAACAAATGCTAGGAGCTTGAAGCTGCTCACCTAAACACAATGGAAGGTTTTGGGGACCAAGTCCAAATAGACAACCACCCATCTATTTTCAAAAGTTAAGCGAATTATTTTAGAAACAGTGAGTTCTCAGCATTGCCAAATGGCAAGAACTGGTTCATTTGAACTCATCCTGTTTTACATTTCTGGAAAGATCAGAGGTTGACTCATTTGTTTAACTGATGGCTTCAGCAGGGGCTGTTAACACCTCACAAAGAGGTCTCCCGGAAGACCTGACAACACCATCCAGTGTGTGTGGGAGGTGTTTTCTCTTTATCCCCAAGGATGGGACTGGATTCTGGGTACATTCTCACTGTGCCTTGGGCAGGACAAATAAATAAATCATAGGGTTAAAAATAGAGCTTCGAACAGAGGCAAGTATATGCTAATTTGCAAATATATTCCACCAACGCCTTGCGTCTAAAAAATGTGGTGAAAATGCCAAGAACCAAGGAGCAGAAAGGCAGGGCCACAGCTCTGCTGGCTCTGGACAGAGCAGGAGCCAGGGCGGGATGGCTCCTCCCACGACGGGTCAACGTTTCCACTTGGAGCCAAGACCGAGACCCAGAAGCCCTTGAAAATTGAAAACCGAGAAACTGTGAACCTCCAGAAAGTTCAGCCTGCATTTGGGTCAAGGGTTCAACGGGTCCTCATTTGATCTAAACCAACTGTGCAAATCTTTTTTCCACTATCAAAGAGGTATGCGTGCATTCTGTTTGCTGAAGCCGGAAACAGGAACAGAATTTCTCATTTTTCCAGGCCTGGGCTTTGGCTGAAAACGGACCCTGATTGTTGCGGGTCCCTGCAGACCAGAACCTGCAGCCCTGCTTTCCAATAATGCCAGCAGCCCTGAGCCATGGACCTCATCCAGGCAGGTGGTGTGGCGCTGTGCTGGGTCCCTGCCTGTTCCAAGCCATACAGACATCTCAGCTTTGCAGAGAGTTCACAGAACCATGGAAAGCCAGCACCAACTGTGAAGCAATTAAGACAGGCAGCCCTCCCGTGAGCCAGGACTTTGGGACACATCTGGCTGTAACCTCTGGCCCAACAGGTTTTGGCTGAGATTTTAATCCCAGGAACCATATTATCTACCACCATATGGCATTCTGTGGCGGGGCTGGTCTGGGACTAGAAGTATATAAAGATGTATGGAATGTTCAAAGAAGTTACGGAGTTTAAACTTGTCATCAAACTTCTGTTACTAACCAGGTGGGTGGGTAGCTGGGTCACAGGAGAAATAAAGACAGGAGAGTGTCAGTCACTACAGCTCAAGCTTCATTCTGCTTTTCAAGGCTTGGGGGAGGTGACAGGGCTCCTAGCTTCTAACTGGCTCCATGTACAGACACAGGAGATGCAGAGCATTCTACTGGAGGGCACCCCTGTGTTCTGGCAACCCAGGGCTGGGCTACTCACCCAGTGATGGACGTGTCCACTTCGTGCATCAGCGGTACTGTCAGTGTTAAGGTGTTGTCGTGCAAGGCCTCAGAGCGCTCCACGTTGCCACTGTATGGGGAGAGAAGAATGAATGAATGCTGGCCAGTGCTAGCCAGCCTGCAGAGGGCTTGCTTGCCCCACACTGGAGCCAAGGACAGATTCAGCATACTTGTCCCCAGTTCCATTTTTGGTAGAGTCCCTTGTTCAGAGACAGTCTACGGAATTAGTTGTGTTCCACTCACAAAAAACGTTAAGGGCAAGCAGCTTATTCAGGAGTTGACCCCAGGAAACACCCTGGGAAGGTGAGCTGGGGCTCACCTCCCAGTGGGACCTGGGAATAGTGCAAAGTACACCTCAGCCTTCCCCACTGAGGGAGTGGGAGCTGGGCCTTTATCCACTAAGTCCTGGAGGCTGCTGAGGTGAGGCAAGGAAGGGACTTGAATTCCCTGTACCTCCCTGCCTCACAGGTGAGCGGGATCCAGTCAGAGAAACCTTGGCAGGGTGGCAGGAGCCGACGAGAGTCAGTGCTGTCTTGTGGGGATGCAGGTGGAGCACCTCCTCTGTGAGCTGCATCGTGCTTATCCCACAAAGAGTGGGCCAGGGAGCTTAGCGCTCTGGAGTTGGGGAAGGGTTGCTATTTGCCACCTGGAAGGCTCACCCTTCATCCACAGTCAGTCAAGCCCAGGAGAGAGGCCCTAGCAACCGTGCCTCCATAAATATCCTGGACCCTCTTGCAACAGATGCACTATAGCATCTCTCACCAAGGCACCCCCAGGAGAGGAGCCGCTCAAAAAGGTCACAGTCACACTGCAAGCTAGACAGAGCTGAGACTCCAACCAACTTAGGCTCTTTCCACTGTGATTCCTTCTCCTGACACCAGACTCGGGGGCAGGGGACAGGAGGAGATGGCAGCAAAAAGGAGGGAGAGAGAAAGAGAGAGAGAAGACCTAGTTTCCCTGTACTATATTATGAAACTTTAACCTGAATTGGGGCGATTCTTCCAGGGAAGCAGCTGGAAAAGGCAGGGCTGTTGGTGCCTATTGCTGAACCAGCACTCAGAGCTGGTTCCACCACAGGAATAGAAGGGGGATCCCAGCCAAAAGCCAAGTTCACCCTCCAGAGGTAGGACCTAAGAGTCCCCAGGTCCTACTGAGGTTCGATCACAGTGGGTCCTGACCTCTCCCCACCATACAGTCCCCTGAGCATCTGCTGAGTCCTGCCTGCCCCGTGCCCACCCTCCACCCCACCACCTTCCTCTTCCATTCATCAAGTGTTGAATGGCAGCAGTACCTAAATAGCTGTCACATCCTCTCTCCCTCTCTCTATTGTTCTGAAACAATGGTGCTCTGTGACTCTGACCCTGCAGGGCCACAGTCACTGCTCCTGGATCCTCATCTGTCTTCCGTACATGGGATGACATCAGTCCCTCCCAGGGCAGCCACACCATGTAGCAGCAGCAGGGTCAGGTGCCCACCCAGCCTGACTTCCTTGCCTTTCCTTTCCCAGGGGATGATAAAAACCTTGAAGTCATTGCCATGGGCGGAGTAGGGGCGACTCCCCTGTTGATGGGATGGCACCGCCCTGGCCTGATCCCTTTTCCATCCCTCCAGCATCCTGCCAGGTTTGAGCAATTGGCTCCTGATGGAACAGCCACCCCTTGCTCTGCCATTTGTCCAGCCCACCTGTGGCTGCTGGCAGATCTGGCCCGACAGTCTCATCTGTCATCGGGTAACGGCTCCAGCATGAGCTAAGTTGAAAAGTTGAGATAAAAAGGCCAAACATCAAAAAGGCTCCCTGCCATCCCAAAGCCCATTCTCTGGGATGCGTTCCAGAGGTCTGCAAAGCTAGGCTGCCGGCTGCAGAGAGGAGAGGTCTGAGACACTGTTTAGTCTCCACTTTATGCCCTCCTAAGCCTACAAGTAGGCAAGAGACCTTCCAAGAGCGGTGACGAAAGAGAAGAACGAGTGATATTTTAATTGTGGCTTTCAAGATAAGGAGCTTTAAGGATCTATTGTTGTAACTGGGAGTCAATTGTGAGTGTCCTCGCGGGCAATGAGATCAGATTTTCACCAAAGCCTGTGCAGAAACAAGTGCCTGAAGTGTTCTGCTGTGTGTTTAAAAGATAACGGGGTGTCCTTCACATCTGCAACTCAAGGAATTAGAAACTCTCATGCTTAATCATATAAGCTATAAATACTAGGTCTCCTGATGCTGTGTCACAGTATTGAAGTACATTAGGGAATGTTCTTGAATTGAGTAGGTTATTGGCATTTTCTGACATGACCGACACTTAGTGGTGCAACTGGTAAATAGTCGGTGCTTGAGAGAGAGTTACTGAGTGACAATGTGTCCAACACAGAATAAGGGACAACAGTGGCCCTTAGCCTTGGCTGCTCATTAGAATCATATGCTGGGCCTTTTAAAAAATCCTAATGCCAGTGGGATGTACATGCCTGAAATCCCAGCAGCTCAGGAGGCTGAGGCAGGAAGATAGCGAGTTTGAAGCCAGCCTCAGCAACTTAGCAAGGCCCTAAGCAACACAGTAAGAATCTGTCTCAAAATAAAATATAAAAAAGGGCTGGGAATGTGGCTTGGTGGTTAAGCACCTCTGGGTTCAATCCCTGGCACATATGTAAACAAATAAAGAAATTAAACCCCAAAGCCCAGTTCTTACCACAGAGCAATTAGATCAGAATCTCAGGGCCAGGAGGGGAACCAGGCACCAGTAGTTCTTAAAACTCCGCAGATGACTCCAACGTGCATCCAAGACCAGAGTACCACTGCTTTGTGGGCACGTTATTCTAAAATACAAATCTTTCCCCATCATGATCTGGGTTCCACATCCTCTCTGATCAGCCATGAATGAGGCTGGGCAGGAGGTGGTTCCCTCTTTTTTTGACAAGGGAAGTCCTTTCCATGTTATGTTCCTTCCCAGGAAAACTGGCTGACCCAGGTTTTGAAGGACCGAGAGAGCACCATGATGGGGTGAGTTTTCAGTAGATCCAAGAAACGGTGGGAGAACGAGAGTTTTCAGATTTGAATGGACACCTGCCTTCTATATTAAATTCAACAACCTCATGCTGTGTGTCAAGCCATTCTATTCTGTCACTCTCCTCTTTAAAAGCATTCAGTAGGTCCTCCCTGCTGTCAGAATGCAGCCCACACTCTCTAAGAGTACTTTTGCCCCCTCATGGTGCCCAGCCCAGCTCCTCTTCCAGCCTCATCTTGCACTGCCCATGTAAGCTCCCACCCTTCCACTCCCAGCCTGACACACTCCCATTCTCCTGCCCCCAGGGTTGTGACACAGCAGGATGCACCATGAACCCTCAGACTGCTATGCCCATCTGCTACCTCCCCAGAAGCTCCTCTGGATTCCAGCCATGGAAATGGAGTCTGCTTTCTCTATTCTTTGCATGTGTTCCTATTAGGTCACAGTTGTGCTTTGTATGGACATGAATGAAGCAATCTTCAAAATAAGATTAGAAAATAACCAAGTCTTGTGGACCAGTGAGGAAGTGGCTAAAAAGATATTATTGGGACAATGGGCATGATGGGAATATAAAACTCGTCTAGATGATTGTATGGTATCAAGGTTTAATTTCCAGAACTGGATAACTATGGTGGCAACTTAAGAGCCTCATTCTTGGAGAATGCATGCTGGGTAGCAATGGATGGAGGGACATGGTTTCTGAAACTGTCAGGTGGTTAAAAAAATTTATATATAGAAAGAGAATGATAAATGAGGCAACATGCTAACATTGGGTGGATATAAGTAAAGGGCATGAAAGAGTTTCTTGCATTATTCTTGTAACATTTCTGTTTAAAATCATTCCTCCCCAAAGTTTTAAATAAATAGATTGCCTTGGGTGTTCTACCACCACCCCCGTCAAAGCTTGAATCCTCCTATTCACCCACCTAAATGGCTCTCCTTGCAACTGAATTTCCAGCCTATCACTACCTAGCTGCGGCTGGTTGACAGCTAGCAACTGGAGGCTGGTCTTCCCCTTCCCTATCTGTCCACTCAGCTTCCAGGACAATCCCTCTGTCAAGGAGCATCACTTGGGGGCCTCTGCCAGCCTAAGGCATGGCCAGACCCTCAGGCTGCAAGTGCTCTTCCCACTATTAAAGGGTGCACTGGCATGTCCTTGAGAAGCAGCTGAGCCAACCTGATGACACACAGAGGACATCTGATTTGGAAAACATGTGGCCAAGTGGGAACTGACCAACCATGTGACCCTGGACTAGAACTTCACCTCTGCAGGCCTGTCTCTCCTCAGGTATAGAATCATTACTTCTCACTAGTTGATTAGCAGTCTCTCTCCCAGCTCAGTGGAAAGTGGTGACAGTGCAAGAAGAACTAGCCAACCACCATCCTCCAGATCTAATCCCACCTGGTTGGGTGGTTGGCTTTATCACTGAATGACAGGTGTTCTCTCCTCCCCATCCTGGGGAATCATCAAAGCGTGACCAGGGCATGTCCTCTCCTGGTCCTACAAGCCTTTTATCCTTAAAACAAACAAACAAAAATGTTCAGGTCCCACTTACCTCTGAGCAGTGATGATGAAGCTGAGAACTTCCTCTTCCCCAGACAGATGGCTCGTATCAAAGATCACGCTGAATTCATACTAGTGAAAAAGAAAGTTGACGTTTGGCACCAGCAATTATTCCATATTTATGTGTTTGCTACAAAATTCTGCAGCCTGTGATCCCCAGAGGCTCATCAGCATGACCAGCTTTATTTTCTATGCATGGCTTTCACAGAAAAATCCACTCTGATGCCCACTCAGTGAGAGGTACATAGTCCTTTTCAGCCACTGAGGTCTCCCTTAAGGAGGTAACATTTGAACTGCCAAACCAGGACTTTGTAGATTTCTCTTGAACATCTTCTCAATTTTTGTGACATCTGCACATCAGCTGGTGATGTTCACTAAAGCCCCAGCCCCCAAATAATCTTAAGAACCACCTAAAATCACCTTAGTGCCCCAACCCAGTGGTGAGCACCCAGTGATTTGGGGAAGAGTATCTTAAACAGATGGTCTTCACTATATGCACATTAGGCATATGTGCGAGTATGGGAGGGACCCATGGGTGGGGCTTATAGAACCAGGCTCTACCACAAACTGTGATCTTGGCTAAGAAACTTAATCTCTCTGATAAAAAGAGGAGGTCAGACAAAATGGTTCTTAAGTCCCACTGAGCTTGGAGAGTCTATAACTTATGTATTTAAATGACTTGGGTTCTACCATGATGAATTCCAGGCACTGGTCTGATTTTTGTGACACTGGATCCCACTGAACTGAACGCTGCTTGAGAGTAAGGGGCAGTGGACCATCACATTGGACTGTCATCTAGAGTGGTCATGGATATCCCTCTTTAGACAGAAATTTCTCTTGCAGTGGGACGTGTCGGTTTACAGGGAGGGTGGGGCACAAAGACAGGGCTGGAGGAAATAGAGGAAGGGAAGCATCAGTGTCTTGTCCCAGGAGAGTCAGAACTAGCAGGCGATCTGAATTAAATTATGTACGTCACAGATCAAGGGGATGGGAGAGGCAAACGATTGGGGTGGCAAGCCAAAATCAGAGATGAAAGCCTGAAACTGTGCAGGGTAGCCACAAGTGACAGAAGCATATAGACAACCCAAGAGAGCCAAGTGTAGTCATGAGGCTTGGCAGGTGGTCTGGGGCCTGATGCCCCTCAGGGTCTGCAGGACAGGGGAGTTCAAGTGGGGCCACAGATAGTACCATCATCTTAGTGTGCCCACCTCAGTGGTGAGCACCCAGAGATTTGGGGAAGAGTGCCTTAAAAAAAGGGTTTTCATCATATACATGTCAAGCATGTTTGGGAGCTCTGTCCCTACTGGTCACGTGCTCGGCTTTCTGACCCTCTAGTTCCATGCCCCACCTCTGGATTTAGTCTCACTGCACCATCTATGTGCAGGAGAAAAGTAGTAGCATTGCCAACTGAACAAAATAACCTAACTTTCCTATATTCTGTTGGTTCCATGAATATTTTGAGAGTTAGTAAATTTCAGTAAAATCCCACACTCCACTAGAGATAGTAGGACACATCTGAGGTTTGATTTGTGCCATAGGTAAGATTTTATAATGAAATGGCAGGTGTTAAATTTTCTAAGGTTAGTCTATTTTCTGTTGCTCAAAAGGATTTCAGTTCACCGGGGGTTGTCCATGCTTTACTCTGGTCAGAGCTATTCAAGGATCAGGGTCTTTCTCCTTCATCCCCATCAGCATCCCACCTGGAGATTAATGGGACATGGCAGGTATATATAAATATAAGTCCACTTTCTAAGGTTCCCCTTCTTGAGGTTCCCCTTCACCTGGAGCAAAAGTGGCAAGAATGAGGAATGGACCCGGAGAAAGACTGAGGAATCATGGACCAAACAGCCACTATTGTTTGGAGCAGGTATGTTCAATGGTGTTGACGGGCTTGAGAATGATTTGCAAAGAAATGAGCAAATCTCCCTCCTCACTAGAACATTCTTACCACTGCTTTATAAAACAGCTGCTAGATACTGGGACCAAAAAGCCTGAGAAATTAAAATGATCTGCTTCTATAACCTAGGCAGGCAGGAAAGAAGGATAAAGCTTTCTTTCCGTCTTTGTTTTGTATTGGTTTTTAGTTTAAAGGGGGAAAAACTATAGACAAAGGATTCCCCCACCCACCCCAAAATCAGAGCAGGGAAAATAGCTTTCATTTCAAATGTCAGAGCTGGTCTTTTAGGTTCTAGTTTTGTCTCCTCAAATCAATCTTCTATTCATCTTTGTATCTTCTTATGACCATGGCATATACTAGAAAGCTCTATGAAGGACTGGATCTGCTTTATAGCATTGATCTGCTTGAGCTTAGGAAATCTGTCTCTTTATAAAAACCACATGACTGTAGTATCTTTTACTTTTTTAAAAATGAAGTGTAATACATTGTCTGAGAATTTTGAGAGGTCTCCAGAAATTTTTGAGTGCCTAGGGGAGCGACAGAGGCAGGCCTGTGGGTCACTGGCTCAGACCACATCTTCTCCTGGGTTATGTTGGAGACTCAGAGTGGTATGGAATGTTCCAGAAGAAAACATTTCAGGAAGGCCAATTGAGGGCTGCTTGCCAATGCAAAGTGGTGTTTTCTTCCATTTCTTTAGAGAGAACACCATGTGGACCCAAGAGAAAGACAACAGGACCACAGTCCCTCTGGAGTATACGGCCAGTGACAGGAGCATGGCAGGGCCTCAGGGCCATCCCGGCTGTGGTGGGAGGCAAAGGTGTGGGGAAAACCACGGGGGAGACAGTTGCAGAGTCAGAGGCTGCAGCCAAGACGTGTCCCATCTCTGCCCTTACCTTCGACTTTGACCTCATGAAAGGAAACCCCACGCTGCATTTGAGGAAGTCTGATTCCAGCAGCTCACAGGAAATGCCCATCTCCTCCTGAAAGAGAAAACACACAGACAAATGGGCAGACTGCATAGAAGACAGAAGTGTGGGAGTATTTCAGAGCAATTTCCAGACAGCAGTCCCTGGGGCTGCTGGTGGACTAAGCCCTGTGACAAGGCCCAGTCCCCAGTCCTCCTCTGGCTGCCCACCATCCCAGGGGTCCTCCGAGAAGACAAATACAGAGCACAAAAGTACTGTTCACTCTAATGTTTGGGGTCCAAACCACAGGATTGGCCTGGTCAATTGGGCTGAGCTGGAAGCCTCCTGATGTTAAGACTAAAAAGCAACCAAATCATCTTTGTGGCTCTTTTTCCTAAGTCCACTCCCAGATCCTGTCTTTCAAGACATTGCTAATTTAGGGAAGACAAATTCTCAGAAAATCACACCAAAGAAAAGAAGGCTGCTTTCTACAGCCTGCAGCAGTGAGGTTGAGCTGGCCCCTTGCAAGTCTTCCTAGGTTAGGATGGATGCCAGGGTGAGGAGAAGTTTCTGGCATGGCTGGACTCTGCACATCGTGGCTTGAGAGAGCCCAGGGAGACTGCAGGGAGCTGCCATCTCCCCACCCAGGTGTACTGTTTCTCCATCACAGGAAAGCCAGGAGCTCTTAATGACTAACAGGGCCTCTCTAAGCCATAAAGCCAAATCAAGACTTCCTAGAGGAGACAGTATGTTTGCAGATTTTGGAGAAGGAACAGGTACAGAACTAACTCTTGTGTCTACCTTCTATCCAAAGCCAGGACACTGAAGTTCAGTGAGAAAATCATGTAACTTCCTCAAGGTCATTTAGCTGATAGGGCACAGTTAAAGAAAAAATTGGGTAAAGTTTGGCTAACTCTAAAATCCATCTCTTTGTGCTGGGAGCCATTAGCCAAGTAAGTAGGTATGACAATTTCCTTGCCAGCGTACCCCATGTTGCAGTGACATTGAATGTAGGTGACCTTGCTCAAGGACCAGGGCGGATTAGGGTGTTCCGGGTTTAAGATAATCGTGTTTAGGGCGTTCCCAGTTTAGGTTCCAGGTTTAAGGTTTAAGATTATTCCTCCTGGGAATAGGGCGTATCCTGCTGCCTGAGTTCCCCTTGAGTTCTCACGGGATTCAGACAGTATATTTTGGAGATAGAAGCCCAGTGGAGGTGGATTTGGGCAGAGAACGTGGATTTCCCCAGAACGTGTTTGTAGATGGCTGGTGTGAGTTCGGGAATAAAGAGTTGCTGTTTGAATCTACAAGCTGTGTGGTGGCTCGTGATTGTGTGCCCAGCCAGACTGCGGCATTTGTGCCCAACCAGACTGTGGCATCTTTGTCCTCTCTATGGCCCAGAATTTCTAGAGAATGAGCAGAGCTGATGACAATAGCAGCCTAAAGGAACCAACTCATAGATTATGGCCCTGAAATGCTGCCCCATGCTCCTTCCTCCAATTTCCAAGCCCATATCTCAGCTCAGACATCAATTCCAGCACTTCAGATTGGCAGAATGAGATTTTTTAAAAATTGTGCAATCAATTGGCAAGAAAACAAACATTTGCCACAATATGTATTTATTTATTTGTTTTTTTTTTTAGAGAGAGAGGAGAGAGAGACAGAGAGAGCGAGAGAGCAAGAGAGAATATCTTAATATTTATTTTTTAGTTTTCGGCGGACACAACATCTTTGTTTGTATGTGGTGCTGAGGATCGAACCCGGGCCGCACGCATGCCAGGAGAGCACGCTACCGCTTGAGCCACATCCCCAGCCCAGTGTCTATTTAAATTATATCATTATTCTAATATATTCTGAATATTATCAAATGTACAAAAAATAGAAATGACAAAAGATGAATATCTTCTTTAAGGATGAGTAATATTCCATATTCCGTTGTGTATATATACCACATTTTCTTTACCCATTCATCTGTTGAAGGGCATCTAGGTTGGTTCCATAGTTTGGATATTGTGAATTGAGCTGCTATAAACATTGATGTGGCTACATCACTGTACTATGCAGATTTTAAGTCCTTTGAGTATAAACTCCAGAATGGGTAGCTGGGTTAAATGGTGGTTCCAGTCCAAGTTTTCTGAGGAATTTCCATACTGCTTTCCATAATGGTTGCACCAATTTGTAGTCCCACCAGCAATATATGAGTGAAACATTTTCCCCACATCCTTGCTAACATTATTGCTTGTGTTTTGGATAATTGCCATTCTGACTAAAGTAAGATGAAATCTTAGAGTAGTTTTGATTTGCATTTCCCTAGTTGCTAGAGATGTTGAAGATTTTTTCATATACTTGTTGATTGACTGCATTTCTTCTTCTGTTAAATATCCACTTTCTTAGCCTATTTATTGATAGGGTTATTTTTTTGGTGTGAAGTTTTTTGAGTTATTTATATATCTTGGAGATTAATGCTCTATCTGAAGTACATGTGGTAAATATTTTCTCCCATTCTGTAGGTAAATGGATGGATTTGGAGAATATCATGCTAAGTGAAATAAGCCAGTCCCCCAACCCAAAGGCCTAAGGTTTTCTCTGATATGAAGAAGCTAATTCACAATAAGGGGGTGGGGGCTAGGAAAGAATATAGGTACTTTGGGTTAGACAGAGGGGAGTGAAGGGAAGGGAGGGGAGGGGATATGGAGGTAGGTAGTAGAATGAATTGGACATTATTACCCTATGTGCATATATGAGTACATGAACATTGTGAATCTGCATTGTGTACAACTAGAAGAGTAAGAAGTTGTACTCCATTTATGTATGATGTGTCAAAATGTATTTTACTGTCATGTATAACTAATTTTTAAAAAGATGAATATGTAACCTATAGGGTTAGAAATCAAGACAGTAATTAGGGAGGCAATAAGCAGAAGGGGGCTCTTAGGGTGCTGGGAACATTCTCTTTCTTGATTTGAGTGCTGGTTACATACGTGTGAAAATTTTGTGAAGATGCACCTAGTCGGGCATTTAATGATTTATGTACTTTATGTATGAAACACCAAGACAACTTGACTTAGAAAACAGCAATAAAAAAAATCTAAAATACAATTGAAAAAACAACAGGAGACAAACAAAAGGAAACTGCAGTATCTTTTTGGACATCTGATCTTGGAAATAACTGATCTCAATGGTTATTATTTCCCAGTGGATCTCCATGCTGCTCTTCACCAGCATTCCCACATGAAGACCCAGGATCAGCTGCTCAGTATCATGCTGGGAACGTCTTTTAAAATGTAGACCCTAGGCCTCCGTTGAGTAATTATAAGGCGTTTTCAATAAATGTTAAGGGACAAAAGAAGCAATTCTGATGTGCAATGGCTGAATTTGCTTTCCTTTCTTACAGGCTTCCAGAAGAACCTTCTTAAAACATGCCTCTTCCCACTGCAAAGGGAAGTGGGATCCTGGCTTCCATTTTGGCCCATGCTTTTCTTTGTTGTCCCCATCCCTGCCCCACCTCACACATGCATTTCTATTCACAGACCCTCTGCCTGACATCCTTTCTGCAGTGTTTAAGTCCTCACTGTCAAGACGCCAAAGGATTTTTCCTCCACCTTGGCCCAAACACTCACAGGTGTGAGTGCACGTATGGAAAGGGAAATGCTCAGGATTCAGGATGGACCCTCAGCACCCAGGTCATCGAATCATGCTTGGCACTGAGGATGCGGGTCTGAACAGCATTAGTTCCTGTCCTTGTTGAGCCCAGAGCTGAGAAGGGCGGACCTCTTGGCACAGAGACATTCACGATGGCAGTGTGACAGCAAATGCCAGGGCAGCTCTCAGAACTAGAGGACAGGCATTGGCGATTTCCATAAGAAAAACTAGAGAATAATTTCTCAAGGGCTATCCCAAGGCCTGCATGTCTCAAAGATGGTCACTGGTGATTCACTGCTGTGACCCTTGCCACAGTCTTCTTCCTTCAGTTACTCCTGCTAGAAGCAATAGTGCACAAATGACCCTATTTGAAGATACTGCAAATCCTAGCTAATTGGTCCAGAGGTAGGAAGCCCAAGTCTAGGGTGACCTTAGCTTTCTTGTTTTTCTGGGACATTCCTGGTGTAATTGCTCTGAAGAGCATTCCACATTTAAACTCACATACCCCATTTATCCAACTCAGTTCCCTAACTCTTCTTGTAATGATCAGTACTTCATTGGGAATCTCTTTCAAACCAGGAGAGAGATTTTTCAATTTACGTCACAGGTCTATCTGTTCTTGAAGTAAAATTTATTGCCCCAAAGACTTCAGTTTTTGCATAGGTGTGAAAGAATGACTATAGCTTCAAAATCTACTCTGGAACTCAAGAGAACCTCAGTTTACTTAGCTTTGACCTAAGGCTAATTATCATTATTAAATAGCTGTAGTACTTTGTTACTGTTAATTCCAAAATGCTAAAAAATAACATTGATTGTGGATTCTTTTTTAGCACTGGGCTTTACACGTTAGCAGGAGCTCTACTAGGGAGCTGCATCCCCAGCTAAAAATAACATTTAAACCAGAGTTTATTTCACCATTCCAAATCTTCTTCCACCAAACTCAAATAAAAATTTCAAAATTCTGGTTGGATCTTGATGAGGACAAGCAAAAAGAGCAAAGGTGTCTCTAGGAACCAGAGAACAGACCATCTGGCTCCTGCCTCTCGTGCTTCCATGATGCTGCTACAGGAAGGGATCCCACAGTGCCCCCTCTGCACTGTTAGCACCAACATAGCTGCCTGCAGCCACTGAAGCTTCCCTGGCCAAAAGTCTTTAATTCCACACCTGTCTCTCCTAGAACAGCTGTTCTGCACAGCAGAACATGGACTTTGGCAAATACCAGGACTCCTGTGTAGATGGTGTCAGTGCTTCCCCAGAACTGTGCCCAGCTGCATGGCAGTCACTTTGCCTGGGAGGTTATAAAGTCCTCCCCAGCAAGCATTTGGCAACCTGGCTGACGTGGGTACCAAAGGACCTCCTGTTGCCTCAAGATGGGACCAACTCTGTGGTGCAATTCCTGTTCCAGATCTAAGGAACTGAGCCAAAGCAGTCGCTGA